GAGATCTCGAGTCACAAAGCCACTCCTGAGCCATCTTTCTAGAAATCAGTGTCCCATGCAATTGCTTTGTAGCAGACACAGAGCTATTACTAACTTATCTCTGAATAATTTCCCCTTTTTCTCTTTTTTACCTTTCCCATCTTCCTCGGGACTGCGGAGTACAGCTCTCAGTGTGTGAAAGTAACCACTCGCGTCCTTACACCTGTAGTGCAGTCGCATGCAGGAGAACTTTGGTTTGCCAAAAAGAGTAGGTTCAGGACCTAATAGAAACAAGTGTGTTTATAGCTGTTCTTCACATGACAGTCTCTTCCTTTACTTCAAATGCACCTACAGTATCAGCTAACTATGAGCATATTTCTATTCATAATCTAAACAAAAGTAAGATATAAACTTATGGCCATTTGTGAAAATGTTTTTATAGTGTGTTAATTAATCATGGGTTTCACTATGACATTTCATGCACGAACATATCTCCCAACCACCACAGGGCCCTCTGTTTTATCACGAACTTGTGATTTAATGAGGCCATAAGAACACTTGTTCAGTTATAATTGCTTAAACTCTTTGGTCACTGGAGATGTCTTCATGAGGCATGAGATGAAAGCAACCATACCCATCACTAGTCTAAAGGAGAGGGGACATCCACCATCGCAGACGGCTTGTAGTACCCTCTCCTGTGAGTGAGTCAGTGTGTTAGCATTTACCTATTTCTATTTTTTCCAGGTCTTCTAGGCGCAGTCGTTGGTACTGGTTTACTTTATCAACTTCGTCATCATAACTAGGGAAAGGGAGTAACATGAAGGTTAAAAGCAAGTGTTTTGGCTTTAGCTCCGAGGCTGAGGTGCAATGTAACGTGCAGTTAAAATAAAACCTTTCCAGCAAGCATTCCAGAACAAAATGAAGCATAAAAACTATATAAAGAATAACAGCCCAGCACTCAGGAGGCAGAAGCAGGTGGATCTCCTCAAGTTCCAGGACAGTCAGGGCTACATAATAGAGAGACCCTAGGTATATCTGTAAAACCAACACTGGGGGAGTTGGGGGTGGAGACAGAGGAAGGTGGAGCTCTGCAAGTTCGAGGCCAGCCTGGCCTACAAAGTGAGTTCAGGACAGGGACTCAATTGGAGTATCACAGGGAAACCCTGTCTCAGGAAAAAAAAAAAAACCTGCCTCAGGGGGAAAAATGGTAACATATAGTTTAACAACTAAAGGAGAATTTTACATACAAAAGGGAAATCAATTGCAGTAAAAAAATTCACTTTTATAAACAAAATAAAAACAAATGTAATTAAAACTAAAGCAGTACACACACACCCCCCCCGAAATACCTTAGGTAAGGGATAATACAGCAGATGGGCCTGATGCCCCATCAACAAGGAAGACAGTCATGGCCTGTGCCAAAAGGCATGTGGAGCGACAGGAAATGGCAGCCTAAGCCAAGCCAAACACAGAGGGCTTATCTGCGCAGGAAATATGCATTAAACCTGCATGCGGCAAGGCTCAGTGGAGAAGCACTTCAGCTCTGGCAGCGGCACAGATAACTGCCTTTTTGGAGATGGCGCTAACAGACCACCAAAGTCACATAATTGATCATATGCTTGTAACCAAGGAGACGCTGAAAGTCGCATAATCATATGCTGGTAACCATGGAGACACTGACGTGTACGCATGCGCACACATAAGCTGTGCATCTGCAGAGCTGCGTCATTCAGCGGAAAAAAAGCTACAAGGGATCCAGGGTCTAACAATGGGGAAAATACAGCAAGACAAGCCATGATAGATAGCCATTCTTGATTAAAGAAAACAAAAACAAAAAACAAAAACAAAACGTGTGTGGTGCCCAGGTTTTGATGAATTCCAAGTAATACTAAGCTAAAACAGTGATAAATAATTTAAATTTTCAAGGATGATAATTTAAAAAGCTCAATGAAATTTTATATATACATGAAGACCAAAGAAATGTTAAGCATTTTCAAAAGCAAACATTTTCCAAAAACAAATTAAAAGCTTTAAATCAACGGCAACTTACTAGGCCACGTAGTAGGCAGAGTTAGAAAGCAGCAGCAGAACGTCCACATCCCTGTGAGCAGCGTCAGTGAGGCTAGACAGACATGACACCAGATAAATTATTTTTATCCACATTTTTTTTTTTTTTGCTTGCATATTCCTACCTATGACAAAAGGTTGCCCAGGGGAACAAATGAAAATGCAATAGTTCTACTTCTAAAGTTAAATTTAATACAAAAGCAATATATCCATCTGAGAGAAAAAAAAAAATCTTAAAACATCTCTCCCCACCCCCACCTTTGAGGTGGGAGAAGATTTGGGTAAGGAGAGCCATAGCTGAAGGGCAATCTGTTCCAGACATGACCAGAAGGGGGAGCAGTCCTCAAAGGAAAAAGGATAATGTAAGAGCGAGGGACGGTGTTGGAGAGGTGGTTACTGGGAAGAAGAAAGAAAACGTGACACCCAGGAGGAGACATCGTACGTTAACTCGCCTTCGCCAGTGTTCAAAATAGCACACTAGACACTGAGGATATTTTTGCACTACTAGAAAACTGCTATTCTGAAAGTCTTAGATAAATGAAGCAGTTGTGAAAGTGACGGAAGGCAAGCCACACTCCAGTTTTCCTCACTATATATCTCACTCGGCTTTCAAGGAATGAGTAACACTGCTTTAAGGCCATTTTGCTCCATTTCCCTACTTCAAATACCAAAACAGATTAGAATTCGGGAGAATGTTGAACCATTAAACTGAGACTATAGGCAAAATGCACATCTTGAAATTTTCTGATACAGAAACGGGCAAGGATTAAAATATACAAATAACCACAAACAGGCATAATTCAAACTGAGATGAAAATTTTCAACCTAATTTCTAACCTAGCACGAGTAGCCTTTCCGGCCAAATTGAAACAGCTGCATTCTGATGGCTGATCTTCAGATTCTACCCCGAGATAGACCCTGCCTTACGACCTCAAACCCACCTGCAGCCTCTTACTACGAAACCAATAGGAAAAACGAACAAAAATCCCAAATAGGGACTGTCCATTGTAAATCAAATTTAAGCCGCAAATTACATTGCTTGCGAATGAGGTCACTGCTAGAGGGCGCTGCAGAGGATAGTGAATTTACCAAAACCTTCACTTCCGTTTTCTGCATCAGCACCACCTTGCTGCAGCTAAAATGCAACAGTTTTCATCTGACATGAATTCCTCCGTTTTTGCCTACACGGAAGCCCTCAATGCGTGAACTAGCACGGAAGCACCCAATAAAACACAGGCTGAATCTGGCAGCCTGCATCTGCGTAAGAGGACCATGAGATCAGAGATCCTGGCGGTGTAGGCGGAAAATGACGTGGAATGACAGAGTAAACGGTGTTGAGGTTTTTTTTTTTTTTTTTTTTTGCATACTTACTGCATTCTGAAAACTGCCGCTTGACCCGGGCCACGCCACAAAGATTACATCACGACGATTTTTACACGAAAAAAAAAAATCTAATTACAGCGTCACTCCCATCCTGGCTGCCTATTCTAGAGTTAGTATTTACATCAGTCAAAAACATTATGTCCTTATCTAAAAGCGTTTGGCACGAAACACGCGGTCGAATGCTGTCGGTCTTTTTTCCCCTCCCACCCCGTTTTTACTGCAGCCTCAGGTGCAGGAGATAACCTCCCCTGCCCATACACCCACTCCCTACCCTTAAAAACACACACACACATTTGATACGAACAAGAAAACAAACAAAACCCTTACGTATAAGCCCCCCCCACCCCCCAGCACTGCAGCTCCTCGCTGCTAATCATTTCTGTTTTCCCGCCACTGCGGCAAACCCTCCTTCCACACTATAAAAACAAAAATTGCCAAAACCACGTGCAGCCTGACGACAGAGACAACGGTCGCATACAAGGCGCTGTCTTCCGGAGACATTAACATCGGGTTTTGGGAAAGAAGTAATTTACAGGAAAAAATGCAGCCCAACAGGTACTTTAACCATGAGTCCTGCAAAAAGGAGGAAAATCTTTAATGTCATGGCGAGAAAGCCATCCGACTTGGCTCCTGAGCGCGAGGCGAAGGGGGGCGGCACCCTGGATCGCTGCTAAGTCTCCGCCAGTCACGCCCACTTCCGCTGCGGCTGGCTGCCACCACGCGTGCGCACTGCATCCCGCGTCCTCCGTCCTCCGCGGAGAATACAGACCCCAGCCCGTGGAGCTGGACACGCGAGGGGGGCTTCTGGCTTGTGCCTTTACCGCAGTCTGGTGGGCAGAGTTGCCGCGATGTGGCCGTGCCGTTCCTACCCGGCAAAACTGCGCGGAAGGTGCGCAGGGACCTGTCTGCAGCTCTCCTGGTTCCTTCCAAGCCTCAGCCTCCTTCCTGCCACTAAAGTCCAGCCGTCCTTTGGCAACTGAGGCGGCGAGAGTCTGCAGGGATGGACTGTGCGGCTTAAGTGGTGGGAGCTGAGCACGCGCCGTGCCCAGGTTAGCTGGGTGATTTAAAGGTTGTGGTCCATCCCAGCATGCCCATGGCAGGGGCGATTCCTGCCTGGCAAGCATCTATTGGGTCAAAATGCTACATTTTGAATCGATCCCCTTGTATCTTATAGATTTACCTTTTTATAATGGGATCTAAGTACCATTAGTGTATTGCTCTCAAACATTTCTTTATGAAAGCCATTAGGCAATTAAAAATACAAGGCCCAAAGATAAAAATCAAAATGAGCAGGGGTCCCTTCAGGGTAGATATAGGGGTAGTAAGCCAAGGAGAACTATTATCCTTTTTCTCTAGGGTCTCTCCAGGCTTTCAGCCCAGTTGCTGCAATATTAGTTTTCATTTCAACTAAGCAGATGCTTGGGACTGCCCTATTGCCCAGCCTTTGACTTGCACTTCAGCCTCCCTAGCCCCCTGATGCCTACGGTTCAACGGTCAGCATTGAAGAAGCTCCAGAAGATGGATCTTCGCCCAAATCCCCCCCAGCAGGCTGAAATGCTAAGTCAAAAGGCTGGGCAATAGGGCAGTCCCAAGCATCTGCTTAGTTGATCCACCCAAAGAGGTAGGGAGCAATCATGTCAGTTTCCAGGAAGTCCAGATCTCAGCTTGCAGTCCACAGCTAATCCCAGAACAGAGTTAAACAGGTGAAAATCTGCTGAGACTGGAGACAGAAGTTAAAATTTGTCTATAAATGGGAAAGATCAGGGAAAATCTCATCTGCGATCCTTTTGAGCTATGCCAGATCCAGGTCACATCCTGAAACTCATATGAATTTTTTTGGTACACAAAAGGAAATATATATTTAGCAAATCTAACATACCATTCTGAGAGTAACAGGTAAAACTGCATCCCACTGAATGAGTATCAGTTAGCTGTTTGTTTTATAACCTGTATAAACAACTTAAGTGTATCCACGGTAACATTTTTTCTGTGGGCATAGCTGTTGGTAATCAGCCATGAATGGAGCTTGGCCATTTTTCATACATTCAGCATCTACTTTTAGACCCCATCTTCATGTTCACACTGGGAAGTTATGCAGAAATACATTACTGGCTTTAATGCTAAACCCTGGATGCTTGGATTTTTCTTTATAAAGTAACTAGAAGGAATAGATTTAAGATATTCCTGTGTCAAAATCTACCCCCAAAATGGCAGATATTAAGAATACCATACTAAAAGCTATGACTTTTGGGTCAGATATACACATTAAACAGATGTTTTTAACATAACGAGAAGCAATTTAAGTCTATCTCCAGAAGCCAACCAAAGGAAATTAAAATCTCGAGCTGGTGACTGAATAATAAGCAGTCAGTGCTCCATCAACTTATCAGAACTCTATTGATTAATGCCAAAACTCTGAACTTCTGAAATCTCATAAGCACAACAGTAGCAAAGAGGGGGGAGAAATCTAAAATATCTCCCATTTTTAATCTGCTTTAAAACCTTTTTTATATCTTTATACTCATAATTATATACCTTAAAACATCAACTTGGACTCTCTAATCTTTTTTGCATTTATCAACCCTAAACCATTTTCAAACCAAGTAACACTCTCTAGATTTTTACAACCTAAACTCCTATATCTTCAGACCCTATATAAGCTTCATATTTTTATCCAGTATATATATTAAGACACAAGCCACTGACATGAATCCTGTGAGCAAGGCAAACCTGTTTTCCTTTCTAAATAAGAGATCTAGTACCATGTAGTTCTAGCTAGCCAATGAACTGATTAATGAGCTAACAGTGGATCTAATTGTCTGCTCTTTAGCTGCAAAGCTACCATAAGCTTAGCCTAGCCGTCAAAGTGATCAGAGACCTGAGAAGGATAAATTATAAGCTAAATAAATATACCAATCTATGTGCCAATCAAAATGACAATGATGACTAGTTAGTCCATCACCTAGGCAGTGTCCCTGGCTCCTGTGGTCTCATAACATCGTGGGCAGAGGCGGTCCAGCTAGGCTCAGATGAGACTACTTCTACTGCTTCTGTGGAAAGAGTAACAGGAGAGATTGACCTCACCTTGCCTCTCACAATGTGAGACAATGGCTCTTCAGGTGTCCCCGGCTTTGTCCACACTTTAGGCTGGGACCTAGCAGTGGGCCAGTTGGGGCAGTATTGCCCAGTGGTTAGCATACCACAATCCAGAGTTGCAGTCATCTGTCATTGTGCCCAAATCTTTTTGGAGACCTTGGGAAGCTACCAGCAGGATTTCGGGACTTTCTGTCACAATAAGCTTACACATGTTAAAATGCCATATTCATCAGATCTCTGACAAGCTTGAGGGCCAGCATATCTGAGTTACTCTTTGTCTTTATCATCTGCTCTAAACTGTGTCCTATAAAACAGAATGCTATACAATCTATTTCTAGCATATTTCTGAGATGCATGTTCTAGAACTATATATTTAAGACAAATAAGCAAACTTCATAGTTACCCATCCTAGGCTTAACCTTAAAAAAACCTGAACAAAGAGACTAGGTAAGGCTCAACTGCAGTATGTAGCATGACTTTAAATCTGCTCTTTCTGAACTAAAATCAAAGCAAACCTCTTAGTCAGATACAGTTCATAGAGAGGCTAGCAAATCTTGCTGCTCCTACCACCTGAATTAAAATTGACCAGTAAAAAGCTTTGCATTTAGCACTAATCAGAGGACTGAACGTAACTCAGAGACCTAAACAAGGATGATGGCAAACTCATGGCTCCACCCTCTTTATCTCCGGACCAGCATGGCGGCTGGCCACGTGTAACTGAACTCAGCTGGAAGCCCTAAACAAATATGGCAGCAAAACTACAGCTTCCCGTGCTCTCTATCCCTGAACCATCATGGCGGCTAGCCATGTGTTAGCACAGGCTGTGACTGACAATACCAAACATAGCCATTAGGTGCTGATGATGATCTGATGATACAGCAAACACTGTGGCGCATCCACAATCCCCCACAACCAAAAGTTCTAATATAGTGATCAAATAAGTTTTAGAACCAACTGCATAACAGAACAGTACAGAACAATCTTAAACTGTACAAATTATTCTAGCCATACCAAACCTATCAGCCAGAATTCTTTCTCCTTAAAAGAGCATAAAAAACATTTGCAATGAGGAATCATCAGCCTTTTAAATGAAGTACAACATATTTAAATACAGTTCTTTCTCAAATCATATTAACTCTCTGGCTTTTTGTAATACATCCACTAACCTTTTGCAACATTCTATATACCTTAAAAACTCTCATGAAAATCCTTTCCATTCTGACATGATCCTGCTGGAGCCCAGCGTCTACGATTTGCTTTTTATAGGCAATTCAAAAACAAGTTACATTAATACAAAAAGTTCTGAAACTGACAAATTCTTTTTTAAAATAACTTCCCTGTAGCAGGTAACATAAAGGTAACATAAACAAACTCTAAGGAACTTAGAACAAGTTTTAGGAAACTAGGTGAAAACATGTTTTCCCATAAACAAAGCAGCTTAACAAACAGCTCTCCACAAGATACATTTTAAAAACTGTAATTTTCTCAATTAGTCCAAACCACATGGCTCAGTTTTACTTAGTAAAATTAATAAAATAAATACCAAAATATTTTTACTCTCCCCCAAAGTATCAAGAAACTTTCAAATTTTCTGTTAGACTACACAAGATCATCCTCATACCCAAATGCCTGATGAACTTTAAACGTTTTATTATAGCCTTAAACATTTAAACATTTTTTAAAACCCATTTTTGCAATATCAAAATAAAGTACCCCTTTTGTAGGAGAGAATTCACAAGGCATAACCATAATCTTAAAAGTCAAAACCAGATTTTAAAACCAGCATTTACCAGTGCAAACAATGTAATTTCTAAAACCAATATCAATTTAAAATAAGTCATCCTTTTAACCTAGAAGGAAATGAGAATTATTTGAACAAGGTTCCCTTTTTGTTTTTACCCATACCAAGATGGCAGTCACATTATAACCCACATGGTAAAGTCAAGATGGCAGTGAGGCACTGAGGCACTTCATGTACCACAACCTATACATATGCGTTCAGACCTTATAAACACATAGGCACACATATACATTTTAAACAAGTTTCATGAGGCCTTTCAGAACAAAAACAGAAGGTAGACACAAACAAATACTGCACAGAGACACTGAGACAAAAAAACACTCACCAGCTGGCCAAATTTCCCAGGACCAAAACTGACTCTTCTGGGGCAGGCCGAACATACTGATTCCTCCTGCATTGGGTGCACGAGGCAAGGACCCTGATGCCCCAGGAAGACACTGAGAGTGGGCTGTTGCCCCAGGAGACACCGAGTGGCACTCACTGGGACCAGGCAATATAGATTACCCACCAAAATACTGAAAATACCGATGAAGCTAGGGGCGTCCCCCTGAACTTCGGCAGCTGTGACCACCAGTGCGACCACCTTGATCACGTCTTGCTACCCAGATACAGACACCTTGAGCTCTGAGGAATTTTCAGAACAGAGAACAGAAAGTACTACACATACAAACATTGCACAGAAACATTTAGACACTTACGGCCGGCATAAAAACCTGCGGGTCAGGTTCCTGGAGTCTTAGGGTCCCAGGACGAGCCCCCAAAATGTTCTGCCCAGTTCACGAACCCCAAAAGACCAGGAATAACTAGACTCCGCTGTAAATACATAAGGTTCGTTTTATTGTAAATTACAAGCTGCAGCTTGGGCCCACACCCCCCCACCGCCGAAGCGGTGGGAGCCGAGCATGCACTGTGCCCAGGTTAGTTGGGTGATATAGAGATTCTGGTTCATCCCAGCATGCCCAAGGCAGGGGCGATTCCTGCCTGGCAAGCATCTATTGGTCAAAATGCTACATTTTGAATTGATTGGCTATAGGAAGGTCCCCAGACCATAATGACCTGGTGTCCCTCCCTAGGGGGATGGGCCAGTTTCCTGGCAACTGTATCTCTAGTGGGTGGGGGAAGAATGCAGTGAGGTGGCTTCACCCCTCAGGGCATTGCTAGACTCCTTTATGTACCTACTTCAGGTTTTAATAATAGCTGCTAATTTATCTTTTGGTCTTTCAGCACATCTAGCCTAAATGCATATTTTTTAAAAGACAATCCAGTTTTTAAAATAGGCAAGGGAGACAGGAGTGGTGGCAACACACCTTTAACCCCAGCAAAAGCAGTCGGATCTCTGTGAGGCCAAGGCCAGCCTGGTCTACAGAATGGGTTCCAGGACGTCTGGGGCAACAGGGAGAAACCCTGTCTTGGGGGTGAGGAAGGCCTGCTGAACCATACACTTCAAATAGGTGAGCTGTGTACTTTATAAATTACATATCAACAAAAGCATTTTAGGACTGCGAGATGGCTCGGTAAAATGCCTATTGCACAAAGGAGTTGAATTCATATCTGCAGTATCCACATGTCTGTGACCCTAGCACTTCCTGTGGGGGGCGGGGGAAACAGGAGAAGGCTCTAGGTGGCCAGCCAGTTTAGCCAGAATTAAGAGCTTCAGGTTCAATAAGAAACATTGTCTCAAGGGAGGAAGCCAGCTGCTGAGAGCACCTGGGTAAAGGCACCAGCTACTAAACCCGACACATCTAAGATTAACGCCTGGGTCCGTCTGATTGGAGGAACTGGCTCTCTTGTCCTGATTATATGCACACTATGGCTTGCGACTGTACACAATGACACACATACACAATAAAATTCTAGAAGGCAAGATGGTGGTGGCACACGCCTTTAATTCCAGGACTTGGAAGGCAAAGACAAGGCTATCAGTTCCAGGACAGCCAGAGCTACTCATAGAAACCCAGTATCAAACCACACCCCTCAATTTTTTTTTTTTATTATTTTAGAAATCCATCAAGGAATGAATAGTTGAAGCAGACACACATGATGACTTGCCGACGCCTCCAAGCACAGTCCAGTAGCCCAGTGCCATGTAGCCACTGCCAGAGCTACCTTGTCCTCCAGCAGGGACCCGGCAGTTCTGCATCTGGATCTGCATTCAGTTAGCAAACAGAGGACAAAGATTCTACAGAAAACACAGATGCCCAGAGCATGTTTCTCATGGAGAGAAAGGGTAAATCTCTCTCAATCTCTCTCTCTCTCTCACCCTTAGAGAGGAAAGAAAAATACCAGTGGCGCATTGAAAGAAACTGAAGCATCGGTGGATGACAAGACAGATGAGAAGAATTACTAAGAGACACAGAAAGGCTTCTTTAACACGATGGAGATGAACCCTCGCTTGGCGTTTCCATGGAAACTGATTCAGCAAAATAAGATGTGAAGGTGTTAATGGTCCTCTATTTGAGAAAGTGCCACTCCAGAACAGGCAGGAGAGAGCACTGGGAACCATGCTGAGAAGGCTTCTAAATTCTTACTGTGGCAAGCCACTGGGCAATTAAACACCTCCCATAAAAACAGAAAACAAAAACAACACAGGTCTGAGCTATGCAGAGCTCAAGGGGGAGAGCAACTGCCTGACTAACATTCATGAAGCCCTTAAGGCCAAATAAACAGGGTTCAATTGTGTCTGTCCGTAATCCCAGCACCTGGGAAATGTAAGGCTGGAGGGTCAGAAATTCCACCTCTACTGTAAAGTGCGCTTGAGGCCAGTCGGGATACATGAGGTCCTATCTCAAAAAAGAAAAGCAAGCACACAACCTACCCAAGCCAAGAGCCAAAGTGTGACCTAGGAAGCTACTGGCTCCAAAATATCAGCCCACCATCTCCACCATCAGACCTTCTATCCCAAAGCCTCAAAGAAAGCAGTTTCTGACAACTGTAACAATGAAACAGGAAAAAAAAATGCTGAAAACTGATGAATGTCTAACACGGTCAATCTAGAGGACCAGGCTCCTGGGACCTGAGTGGAGAGTGGCCAGCCCTGGCAGCCGTGGGTGTTGCTGAGGAGCAGACCATGTATCTGCTCCAAAAGTCTGCAGTTCTAAGCCTGTTCCACAGCCGCCTCTCGAGCAGCAGCACATTATTCTTTCAGACATCCCTCTTGCCCCAGGTAGCAATGGATCTCCCCAGTGAGCACTAAAGAGCTGACAAATGCACCACTCCTGCTTACACTAATGTCCTACAGGAAGAAGAGAACAGTGGTGGGAGCTTTGGCTAGTGAAACAGGAAAGGCATACTCCCATAATCATTTTTGGAGGCTGAGCACCAAGGAAGAATTAGAAGACAAACCATTATTATCAGGAAGAGAAGTACATCCAACAGTGAACTAGGAACTAGCCAGGAGACCTAACCAGAGGCCTCCACCTGAAGATGCCCTGAGGGATAACAAGGAAGAAGTCTATTTATGCCTGGCAACCAGTTTCATGAAAATCAATGTGAGACAATAAAAGCCTGGTAGAGATCTTTAAGAAGCCACCAAGGGCTAGGTTATGGGTTGTTCTCAAAAAACAGAAACAACTCAGCAGAAGCTCAGCCTGATACTGAAGGCAAGCAAGGCACACAAAGGACCCTGGGGCTTCATTTGTATCGAGAGACACAAATCACGAGCTGGTTAGCACCTACAGATCAGGCAGCAATAAGACCAGATGGACTTGAAGCTTGCAGCTTAGAACACAAGCAAATGAGGTTCTTGGGAGGGAGAACCACTTGATAAAAATCTACCAATTCTGATCTATATTTTGAATTTCCAATGAAGAAAAAGTGGGATCTGCTTTGTGGGGACTATTCTATCTATAGAACCAAAATATAGCGCAAAAAGATGTTCAGAGCCTCACTATCCAGCATGTTATTATTAATCAGGTATTCTTTAATTTAAGGTGCTCCAGATGTGCAGAAGGCAGTCACTGGTTTCCTATTAGCAGAAAGCCAAATTTTACCACTATTACAAAGGAGGGAATAAGCCTGGCATGGTAGCTCTTTAATGCCAGCATCTGGGAAGCAGAGGCATGAGGCTACCCATCTGTCAGAGGCCAGCTTGGTCTACACAGAGAATTCCAGGACAGCCAGGACTACATAGTGAGATCCTGTCTCAAAAATGGAACACTAAGACGCAGGGCATGTAGCTGCTAAGTACTGGAAAAGGGCGGGAGCAGAGAAGCATTACATCATGCTGGTGGCGAATAGGAACAGACTCCACCGTGCTGCTTTAAGTGTTTGGAAGCGGAAAATTCAAGACCTGAGACTAACCACTCCCTTTGAGGCTGAGGATAACCTTGGGCTTCTGATCCTCTGTCTCCATCCTCTAAGGACCAGAATTATAGGCATAAGGTGCAAATAACTGACCCCAGGGCTTCTGGTGTGAGGAAGCCTCTGGAGGCTTCTTAAAGACCCAGCGGACTCAAGTCTTGTCCCACCACTAATTTCACAAAACCGGTGATCATGAATCTTTGCAAGAGTTTTTAATAACTCTTCACAAAGCACCCTTTCCCTAATTTCGAGGCGTTTATTATCAGTTATCAGTGCTCTTCAAATAATCTTTAAGATTTGGTTTTATTGTCTGAGTTTGTGCCTTCCATAGAGCATTTCACAAATGTAGCTGGGCAGTGTGCAGCCGAAGGTGTGCGTCCTCTTGAACCCTTTCTCCTGAGAGTCCAGCTTACTGCATCGAGGCACACACGTGTGTAACTGTTAAAAGATACAATGATGCTTTTTATTCCTACTGGTGCAAAGTGCTCCCAGGCTTTCATAGAATAAATACACCAACTCATACTTGACATTTTTTTTTTAATAAAAACACCTAGTTTTCAGTGTTCTTCAAAAAACTGATGCAGCTGACCCATTTGAACGTTGTTCTGTTTTGCTTCACTTTTTGAGACAAGACTTTTCTATAGCCCAGGCTGACCTCAAATCCAAGCACTCTCCCTGCCTCAGCCTCAAAAGGGATGAGATTACAAGTAGGAGTCAACATTCCAGGCATTTCTTTACATCCAGTGTTGTACTTAGGTGTTTCTTTTCATGACCCACTGTTTTTGGCAACCCGTTAATCCTGTACCAAATGTGGGTGTGCCCTGTGCTGAAACTGCCAAGGGGGATGCAATCGAGTCCACACGCTATGAACAGCTAGCTGCCAGTGCTAATGGGGACAACTTATCGAGCCAGAACACGGAACAGCGTGAGTCGGAGGTCACCCCAGCTCACCTGGGGTCGCAGTCAATTAGGGCCCAGCCCCCGTGGAACCTCTCATCGCCGGGCAGCAGCACCGTCAGGTACGTCTGTAAGAGCTGGCTGATGAGCTCCTGGCGGCTTCTCTGGGTGCCCTTATGCAGGGCTTCATGCTCTTTCTCCTTGGTAAAGATGGAATAAAGATCTTCTGTCACTGGAATGCCTTGCATCAAATCTAGGGTAGAAGTATTAATACTATCATCATCTTAGCTTTACTGATGTGTCTTTTAGAAAACAAAAAAAGAATCGAAGGCCTAAAACAGAAATCATAAAAAAAAAAAAAAAGCAGAAACATAAATCTTTTCCACCTTAAAGAGGCTCAATTTTTTTTTTTAGACTGGACACCAAAAATATAAGCAACAAAAGAAAAAACTAATTGGATGTCATCAAAATTACACACGTTTTGTATTTCTGGAAATATTTCACGGGTGAGAAGAATGGGCTTTCCCTGTCTTCACATGTCTTCCCTGGGGCCTGGTGACCTGTAGCCATGTCATCAACATCTTCCTACTCTGTGCTGCATGCAGTAATGTGAACCTTTCCCACAGGATCTGCCTTACTTCTTTCTCTCCAGCCCCAGTGAACATCTCTATTGCATGTGAGGATGAATCTTTCAAGATGGATCTCATCTCAGATGTAAACAGTACACTGTAAACTTAGGTGATGAGTTCTGATTGGTCACAGCTAGCACTTAATAGGAGGATGGTACTCTGGGTGATAAGGGTGTGGAGGGCTGACACAGAAGCATGCCCTCTGCTCACACATCCTGCAGAGAAGGATGTGCTCATGGGGCTGCAGGTGAAGCCAACAGTGCATAGATCGGAGCAGACTCTAGCGTGGACCTAATGAGAAAGGAACTGGCCTTCTGGGTGTCATGAGAAGCCAGCTTGACTGATGAAGTTCATGGACACCACCCAATCCTGGGTGGAAGATGCTGCCCCTCTGTTCCTGAGGGGATAGCTCTGAGTACATCTTTAGTTAGTGTAGAGTCAATGGAAACTAGGGAAAAGGCTCAGTGGAAAAGATCTTAAAATGAACCAGAGTTATTTTGTATATGTGGGATTTTTTTCAATTAAATTTGAGTTTTTCAGATTAAAAAACAAACAAAAACTGCATTTCAAAATGTACTACCATGAAAGTGAAAAAGTCCACAAACACGTAAGAATATTTATAACTGTTCATCTTGTGGGAGATTTGCATACTTAATACATACAGAAGTGCTAACAGCTCGGCAATACAAAGCCTATGCAATTTTAAAACAAGCCATCTTAACAGACTAACTTCCTCCTGATGGGGTATGCAGCCGAAGCTCTAATAAACCATAGGAGTCCATTCCTTATGAAGACATTTTGGACACTGAGATCTAAGGCAGCTTATGAGAAAGAACATCTGCCAGCCACTGGCCTCACAGCAGGACTCGACAAGCTGCTATTGCTGCTGGCTTCTCCCTTAACCTTGAGGAGAACAAACATCAGAGCAAGATGAACAGACCTGGGACAGGCCCAGAGCACAGGTTCTCGGTGACATAAAAAAATAGGTACGTTAGCAAACAGAAGGAAGACATCTTTTTTCCCCCCCTTTAAATATACTACTAAAATCCAAATCTCACGGAAAGGGAAGCCTTCCTGTTCCTTACCTATGACAGCTTGCCTATATGCATCCTTGAACCGACTGAGGTAGTACCTATTTGCCGAGTTGACTCCATCTTTCATAACTCCTGCCAGCTTCCTTTCTCCTGTTCTGGTAAAGTCACCCTATCAAAGAAAAGGTAATTGTGAAATTTTTTCAAATGTAAGAAAAAATTTGGGGCTTTCGTTTGGGGCTTTCAATTCAAGACAAGAATTCCACAAGCTTTCAAATCATAACTTCATAAAGTCCTAAATATTGTATTTAAATTAAAATACATACTAATACTTGACTCTGATCTAATAAGCATGCCAAATATTATATGTAGTATTTATTCATGGCATCAAGCCTTCAGTTAAATGGCTCTTTAGGGAAAAGCCATTCCTGACAACTTGTAGAATTCCTACAATTTCTAAGATAAAACCAATTACATAACAAATGCCAAAAAGATTCAAAAAAAAAAAAAAAACTTTTTCAAGGCTCGTACCAGTTTATATTCCAAACGAAAATTTCAAGGGTGGAGGAAAGGCTTTGAGCTTGAATCTCAGGTGGCCTAAGCTGGTTTAACTCTGTAGCCAAGAATGACCTTGAACTCCAGCCTCCTGCCTCCACATCTGGAGACTGGGGTTATAGGCATGCGCCTCCATACCCAGCTTTCAAAAGAAACATTTCTAATGTGGGACAATGTGGGTAGTTCTCTAGAGTTTAGTGCAGTGAGATTTAACCATTTTGTGTGTGTCCCCAGCGGAGCATGAACAGTACCAGTTTGGCCTACACGGAGGCCCTGTCATAAAAACAAGGTTTTTTAATATGTATTACTCAACCAAAACCGAGAAAAGCTGATGTCTGTTGAACCATTGGTCCAATTTATTTTGTTTGGTTTGGGCTTGGCTGGGACTTAACTCCGGGCCTCACACATTCCAGGCAAGTGCTGTACTAACCAATCACAGGTTTTCAGAAGAGATATGGACTAGATGGACTACTATCTTGAAGGGAAATCAACATAAACCCAATTTAAACTGATTCAACCACTTTCTACTGCCCATAAAGAGTACCCACAAATTGAGAATTTGTTAGTAGGGACTATGTTTACATTTAAGGGTCTATGAAGAATAGTTTTGTAGGCTCTTTCAAAAACAATTTATAACAACAAAAACAAAGCACTCCTTCAGCACACACTGCATGTGAGGAAACAGTCCCAGCCCCCATACCCTATCACGACCTGTCATACAGGGCCCGCTATGTCCACTGAACAATTAGTGGGACAGAGTAGACAGTAGATAAGTGACTTGTCCAAGGTCCCTTAGAGGCAGGCTTAAGATTCACACTCAGAGAAGAAAAAAGTATCCCGGGTGGGTCAGGTGTTGGAGGAAGGTCCAACTGTGTTTTCAGATGCTGATTTCAGTACCTGGAGATCTGGTTACCACCCAGGCACTGTTATGAATGTTGAACTATCTCCTGTAACTATGCTTCCCAATTGTCCCTGACTGGCTGATTAAAAGGCCTATACCTGGGCAGCAGAAGTGAGAGGCAGAGTGAAAGTTCATGGATCTCGGGAAAGAAGGATCATGGGAGAAGGAGACAGGTACTGGAGAGGAAGGAATCAGAGAGCCTCGATGGGTTGGTGTGGAGAGGAGCACATGGCCAGAGCAGCTCCGACCCAGATGAAGAACAACAATATTTTGAGATTATGGATGGAAGGAATTATTAGAGCAGATGGCATGCAGCTGGGGCTTGGGAGGCCAAGGTAGCTTAGGAGGTAATATCTGCCATGCCCCGGGAGAAAGAAGGTTATTCTGAAATCTATCAGACGTTTGTGTCTTTCAGTGATTATAATAGCAGGTTAGATAATGCTGCCCTAATAATTACAGGGCTAATAATACACATTATTAGACTATGCTTTTAAATTATCTACAAAAGTCAGGGCCTAGCAGACATATTTTGTGTGTATATGGCTTTAAAACGCACACACAGCCAGGCATGGTGGAGCACAGGGAGGCAGAAATAGTAGGGTCTCTGTGAGTTTGAGGACAGCTAGGTGTACACAGTGACGTCTAAGATGGCCAGGGCTACATGGTAAGACCATGTCTCAAAATAAAATAAAATAAACGCACATTAACTTTCAGATTTCCAGAGTCCCACAAAACAAAACAAAGTGTTAGATACGGCAACAGGGGACATCCTCAGAAAGAGCATCCTTCCCCAGCCTTCTCCAGTGCACTGCCCCGAAGCCCCGCATAGGCCACCTATACCCTGATCTAATGGTGGACTCCTGCCATAGTCAGACATTCCGGAAAGAAATCAAGTACACAGACCTACCATCTGGAGCCCAGATACTTTTTTTTTTTTTTAAATAAAAAACAAAGTTGGTTTTGAACCTGAGATTCAAGGATCTACAATGAACCTACAGATAAGTTACCTTCAGAGCAGCTGTCCCAGCATACTGTTTACTGATGGAGTCGCCATTGTTTGCCCACATTATCTGGTAGATCCGATTACATTTCGCAGGTAGTGGCTGCTCCGGGGGCATCACACCTAGTTTTTTCAGCTAAAATAAACACATTGGTGAGTAGATAATATATGAGAAACCATAGCATGAAATATAGACTATAGTGCTATAGTCTATATTTATAGACTATATAGATTATATTTATAGTCTATATTTATAGACTATAGTGCTATAGTGCTATAAAGAGAAAAAGCTGACATAATTGAGGACCCTTGCATAAAAGAAGTGTTTTCAGATTTTGTGTGTGTGTGTGTGTGTGTGTGTGTGTGTGTGTGTGTGTGTACATGCTACTAAGAACATGGGGAGGCCAGAAGACCACTTGCAGGAGCCAGTTCTCTCCTTCCACCGTGTGTACCATGGATCAAACTCAGTTTCCAGGTTTGGTGGCAGTGCTTTACCACTGAGCCATCTCACTAGTTCCCTCAGACTTTATTTTTGAGACACAGTCTTGGTATGTACCCCAGGCTTGCCTAGAGTTCTGGATCCTCTTGACTCAGGCTCCTGAGTACTGAGATGACAGAACCGTACAGCATGTCCAACTCTGACACATTTTTTAAAGACTGCCAGGTGTGGTAACGCACACCTTTGTCCCCATCCCTTGGAAAACCGGATCACAGATGGACCTCTGCGAGCTCTAGGCCAGCCAGAAGTGCATAATGAGACCCTGTTTCAAAAACAATTACTAGCAAATAAAGAAAACACTGCTATCAATTACTATAGCTGAATAAGGGCCTAAAGAATTTTAACTGTGTGTCAGGGCAGAATTCAAGGGTTTTGGGGTGTTTGTTTTTAACATGAATTCTCTCATTTACTCGTCACAACACTCCTGTTTTAAAGATGTTAAGACTGGGTTTGGGGAGGTTTCCTGGAGTCAATATTCCATAAGGGCTTAAATTCAAAAGCCTTAGTAAATGTACTTTAAAAGAACAGAACAGAGAACAACCACTCAACCCTATGGGGCAGGGAAGACACCAGAACTCCAGCAGGTGCTTCCAATTTGGACTGTGGCCCAGGACACCGGTACGAGGGGCGGGAGAGCTGGAAGACGTACAGTGAAACACTGAGGTAACAAACAACAGGGAGGAAGCAGCTCCCATCCACAGAGCTGGGGCACAAGGGGAAGGGACCAGAGAGCCTTCTGCTAACAGGAATGCAGCAGGCAAAGGACTCTGTGGCTTCCCATTCTTGATCATGGTCTTCTCTAGTTCTGGTCCCCTACCAGCCCCACCCCTACCTGCCACTGCTGGCCAAAAGGAAATGGGACGTGCAGACTCCCAGCCACAAACACAGAACGGTGGGTCTTAAGCTCAGAGGAAAATGGAAAGTAACCACAAAATGCCCCCAACAGATTTAAAACTTTTACAAGTTGAGTACTTAAGAAAATGCTACCACATCCTTCTTAAAGTTACATTCCCCAGGTTTTCATTCAACAAGAATGTGTGCATGCTAAAAAATGTGCTACACAATATCTGACTTTGAAAGGATGTTTCACTATTTACTTACATATATAAGTTTAAACCATTTTAAAGTGAATATTTAGAAGTAAACGGACTCCAGATTACCTGCTGTTCCATGACCACTCTCGCAATGGCAGCTTGAACCACATTGGTGCGATCCAGGCAGTCCATGCAATTAACTCGAAAAATCCCTTCTTGCTTACATATGACCCCAGCCTGATCAACCCTTGTCAAGAGAAGCATGGGATTAATTTACAATTTCTAAAAAGTTTTCAAAAAACACAAATCTTAAAAATACGGCAACAGCAGCAGTAGCATTAGCTGGCAATTGTGTAGGCATATCCTCACAGGCTAGGCAGTTCTGGGTACTCCGCAGACTTTACTGTCAGTTATAAAATAACTTGGCAGCGAGGTACTGTTATTCCTGTGTAAGAACTAAAATCCCAAGAGCGGAGAAACTGAGAGAGCGAGCAACTTCCCTCCCGCTAACGACGGCAGAGCTGCCGCACCCCCAGGCAGTGTGTTTGCACACGGTTTATGCATTTTAAACACCATCTTGCTGCTCCCTTTCTAACTAAAACATACTAACCAGTTATGCCACCTGCCAAGGAGGCATGCAGTAGGCCTGTGCCGTCTAGCACGCCACCGTGTTGTCTTAACATCTAATCAGATGCTCTGTCCTGGCCTACAACATGATTTTTTTGCTACCTCCTGGAGTTTAGGCATCTTTTCCTACCCTGTTAATTTGAAAATGCCTAAAAAAACTGAAGCTTTCCTTCCCCTGAGGGATGGCAAAGGAGGAAAACAAAATGGAAGCCACAGAGAGGGGGAGGAACGGGTTTAAGGCCTTTAGGCGCAGCAGCAGCCTTCTCCCTCATCTGCCAACCGTCTGGCTGTTCCCTGGTCACAGGTGGCACCACCCGACGATGGTACCCATGAAAAGGAAGGGAACCGATCAGGGAAACACAGACGCGAGGCCAGCATAACGCCGCTGTTTGATGTTCAGTTGAACCAGATGAACAGGATTTCACAGACCAAGAGTCAAAACAACTTTATGTGACATACCATGGCGGTTTCAGGAAGAATGGCCCCATAGGTTCATGTATTTGAATGTTTGGTCCCCAGTTACTGGAACTGTTTGGGAAGGATTAGGAGGTGTGGCCTTGTTGGAAGCAGTGTGTTGTCCTTTTCAGGTCTCTCTGTCTTGTGCTTATGGACTGGAGGCAAGCTCTCAGCTACTGCTCCAGCACCATGCCTGCCTGCCTGCCTCTGTCACAGTCCCCACCGTGATGATGCTGTAGACTCTAACCCTCTGGAACCACGACCCTCAAATTACATGTTTTCTTTGTCACAGTGTCTCTTCACAGCTAAAGAAAAGTAACTAAGACAAATACCTACCAGCACCACTTCATGTCAAGAATAATGTCGTGAATGGCATCCGTTAGGATTTGAACATTCTCAAACTTCATTCCTCGGCTAAATCCCATTCCCCAGAACAAAAAAACAAAAAGCAATCTTTAGTATTATAACAATTATTTTAGTTTACTTAAGGTAAAGGGGGCTGGGGACATAGCTTAGTGTTAGAGCTCTTGCCTAGCATGCACGGGTTTTAATCATCCACACCATTAAAACAAACACCTTTAATCTCAGCATTTGAGAGACAACTCTGGGAGTCTGAGGCCAGCCAGGGCTATGTAGTGAGACTTTATCTCAAAACAATACAAAAAAATCTAAGATACTATTGTTTATATGTACATCACATCTTATTTACTTATTCTGTATATGTGCACACACGGAGGTCAGAGGACAACTTTCAAGAGTTGGTTCTCTCTACTGTATGGATTTCAGGGATCAAATTCAGATCATCAGGCTCGGTAGTAGGTATCTTTACCCACTGAGCCATCTCAGCAGCTCCTTAGGATCTTTACAGTAGCTCAAAAATCTTACAAAGAACTGTTAATACATATAGATGACTTGCTACTTCCGTATATTAGGTAATTCTATGGCAAACTGATACTTGGGCACATGTGTAAACACTGAAGCCTTACACACAGATGCTTCTTCCCCACAACTTTGTACCAAGGGAAATTCACAGGCAAATGAGGATTGTGGCAAAAGCATCTTGCTTTCAGAATACTAATAAAGTAAGGGTGTCAGCAATAGGGTTCACCTACTACTGCCCAATCAAAGCAGCTGGACAGAAGCGCTCCTAACAGTACGAGGAAGCCAGCAAGATGGCTCTGTCCTTCAGCGGCTATGCTTAGGCCAAAACTGGAACTTGAGTTCACAATGCATTTTGGAACTGAAAATACTTTAACACCAACTTACAGGCCTAGCTAGAGCAAAGTTCGCGAGCACTAACAGCAAGTAAGCATGACCCCTGTCCCTTCTGAGCAGGGTGGAAGGGACTTTTTCCTTCCCAGGAAGAGCAGAGAAAATGAAGTCCCTTCCCTCTCAGCAGACCCATACCAGTGTTCGTGGAAATCGAAGGAGACGTAGGTGAGCTTTGAGTTGTTGAAGAGCAGCACCTGCTTCAGGTAAGCATCGCCAATAATCTTCTCCCTCCCAGCCTGGTCTACCAGGTTAATAATAACCTGTGAGGATGAAGAGCAGCAGCATCAAGGTTAACTAGACCTCAGAACTGTGATGTGAGCGTAACAATTCACTTATAATCACATTTTATAAATATCTTACATCTGTGCTTAGAAACTAATCCACTCAAGTGTCAATTTTTTTCATGAAATTAAAATATTTGTTATGTTAATATTTAGCTGTGTGGGAACTGCTGACATCAATGGTAATAGTTCTAGAACTCTGCAATAGCCAACAAATACACAAAGTAAAACATGCTTCTTTTTAACAGCAAGTATTTTTTTTTAAGAATTTTAATGTGTGTGTGTTTACCCCTGGGGGCCCGTGGCCTTAGATCCCCTGGAACTGAAGCCATAGGCAGTTGTGAACTGTGGATGCCTGGAACTGAACTTGGATCCTTCTGGACCTTCATCTCTCCAGTCCAAACAGTATGTATTTTAAATAGTATGAACTTTAAAAAAAATTTACAAGTTAAACATTGTACTGAAATATGTAAAAGAAAATCTAAATACACAGGCATATTATCATGTTGCTGAATCTCAAGGTCCAATATTGAAAAGATGTCAAGTCTCCCCAAATTAATCTAGATACTCAACAACCCCAACCAATCAAAATTAATCTATATGCTCAACAATCCCAACCAAAATCCAACCAAGGTCTTTTCATGGACAACATAAGTTAATTCTAAAGTTCATCTGAAGGAGTAAATGTTTGGGAATAAAACTGAAAAGTAATAAACATGGAGGAAATTCGCCCTTCTTGGAGCAATTCTATAATTCTATATATTCTACACAGCAAGCAAGACTGTGGAACCGGACACGGGCAACTACTCAAGAGAACAAGGCTGACCGGGGGGGGGGGGGGGGGGGGGGGGGGGGGGGTACGGAGGACAGGATGGGAAAAAATTCCACATGCACCATGACCTAAATGTTTTTCTTCAAGTTATTTAAAAAAACAAAAAACCAAAAGCCACCTTCCACAGCTGTAGATGGAAGCATGACCTTCCAAACATAATATAAAAATTAGAAGACAAAGGAAAAGACGGACAGATGTGATAACAGAAAAAAATTAAATTACATATGTGTACAAGTGACATTATAAGCAAAAGTTAAAAAAAAGGAACTTCCCTGAGAGCATACCAGCCACACAAAACAGTATTTTATTGAGAAACATAAACGGAATAAGAAAAAAAAAAATGGGCAAATTTGTGCGCATGCGAGCATGTGCACACAAACACAAAACCAAAGTAAACAAGATGCCACAATGCCATTAATAGTAAACTGCAATTGTTAAGACATAAAATTGGTTTTTACACACATACAGGTAAATTTAAACACAAAACAGAGACCGAATTGGTGAACATGGAAAAACAAAAAGCTTCTCACTGTTCCTGGGGATATTAACTATGTGATCTCTGAACAAATCTTTTTAATTTACTGTTGTCTGTGTTGGGAAGGTGCACGGGCGTGTGACAGATAGCAGAGGACAATTCTGCAAAGTTTCCACAAACTGCTCCTGGTGTGGTACCTCCGAAAGCAAGTGAATGCTAAATACCAACTTTAAATGTATATACTGTTTAATTCAACAAGCTTGCTTTCACGAATCTATTCTGTAAACGCAAGTGCTCTAATTCTTGGACTTTTAAAATGGCATTTACTGTTGGGCGGCAGGGGTGGGGGAAGCACACCTATTGGCAGGGTGGAGGGGGAAGGTCGGAGAACAACCTTGTTGAGTCAGCTCTCCCCCTCCCCCTTTTGTGGGCTCCAGGGATGTGGTGGTCAGCCTTGCTCAGCAAGTGCTTGACCTGCTGAGTCATCTTGCCAGCTCTGCATTCTGCATCATCTGTTTTCTTTTCTTCTTTTTCTTTTTTCTGAGGCAGGGTCTCATTATGTAGCTCTGGCTGTCCTGGAACTTGTTATGTAGACCACGCTGCTTGAATTCACAGAGATCTACCTGCCTCTGCCTCCCAGGTGCTGGATTAAAGGCGTGTGCCACTCCACTCCACTTACTTTCTAAAAACTGAGTTTTTAATGTAGTCCAGACTTTGAATTTACTGGGTAGCCTAGGATGGACTTGCTCTGTAGACCAGGGTGGCTTCAAACTCAGAGATCTTCCTGCCTCCATCTCTCGAGTGCTGGGATTAAAAGTGCCTGGCCTGATTGTTCTTGTAATAGCAAAAAGTACTAGTATATTCTAAAGGTCCATCAGCTGGGAAAAGGTAGCAGCCAGAGAGTTAAGTAACAACAGGCTGCTACAGCACAGTAAACACACATCTCTCTGTGACCTGAGATCACTGTGAATGTGCTGGTGTCAGGTAATTCCTGCTACAAACAAATCTCAGAGCAAGTCTGGAAAGAGCAGGGCTCAATTCAGTGACTCCTGAAACCAGTGAGGACCCTGGTCCTTTTGGCCTTTTCGTTTTGCCATCCCCTCCACTGCTTTTTCCCTAGCAGTATACCGGATAAGCATCCTTCAGTTCATTTCCAGTCCTGAGACAGCTGCAAAAGTCCCACATCAAATCCAGACACAACAACCTCAGGGGCACTGTTGCTTCCGGTAATCTTTTATTGACGCAGTAAGCTTTTCCCACATCATACACCATCTGTCAAACAGCCCCAGCCTAAACCAATTATGGGCTGGCGCAACACTGCCACCAGGAGTGAGTCATACCATCGATGGGCCTCTCATCCCGCAAGCAATCACCCAGGAGGACACAGATAACTCAGATAAATGAACACCGCCAGGCTTCCGCTGGAAGCCGGAAGGTGTCTGCTCGGTGCACAATCTGGAAATTGATGTGAGTCAACGGGGAGCAGGGAGCAAACGTGGAGGAGTGCATGAGGAGGTTATTTCCTGGGCTTGCAAACCTCAGGGCTGCTCCTTTTCACAATTCTGTGTTACACTTAAATATGGCGTATTCTTTGTAATGCTACTTACAATCAGGAATATTGTTAATCCATGAATCAACTCACATTATTAAGGAATTCAAATGTAGAGTAAGACCAAATTGTTCCTGACCACATCAATCCCACACGCCTCCCTGAGCAGCCATCTTGCTCAGATGCTGCTTGCTATTTAAGTGCTAATTGCTCTCCATCCTTTTCCCCTACTTGATGTTTCTCATCTTTTTTACTTCAACTACCCCAGTGTGTGAGTCATGGCTTTAATTTGCATTTCTCTGACAATTAATGAGATGGCACACCTTCTCACATGTTTTTGGGCTTTATAAAATAACCCTTTACATAAAGATTCTGTTCAATTCTTTTTCTAGTTTTCTTTTGTACTGTACATCATTTTTAATGGATTTAGAAGACATTTAAGCTCTCTTCTCTCTCTCCCCTCTTGCTTTCTCTGTCTCTCCTCTCCTCCCTTTCTGTGTGCATGCTTTTCTCTCTCTCCTCCTACCCCTGCAAGAAGGCTGAGAGCTGCTTCCAATAAACCTGCATTTATATACTTAAAAAAAGAAGGTATTTGAATATGCTATATCCTAAGGGACCAAACCTTAACTATTAAAGATTTATTTTAAGTATAAGTGTTTTGCTTACACATATCTATGTGTACCACAGGTTTTGCCCAGGGCCCAGGGAGAGCAGAAGAAGGTGTCAGATTCCCTGGAGTTGCTCACGGTAGTGAGTCTCCATGTAGATACTAGGGATCGAACCCAGGTCCTCTACAAGAGCAGGAAGTGCTCTTAACTGCTGATCCAGCTCTCTGGCCTCTCCTACTTTCTGAATTTCCTTCCATTATCTTCATAATGCCTTTAAAATATTTTTTAGTTTTATGCATATGAGTTTCTTTGTGTATAATCAGAAATAATAAATAATAAAAACATTTAAGGTCAAAATTAAGTTAATCTTTTCCATTAAGGCTAGTGTTGTTTTGTACACGTGTGTATCTTTGTGTGGTAAATGCACGGCACAGAACACATGCAGAGGTCAGAGGCCAACTTTGGATATAGGTCCTTGCCTTCCACCTTGTCTGTATTGTCTTTGGCTGCACATGCTGTCTAGCTGGCCTGCAAGCTTCTAGGATTCTCCTTCTCCACTTCCTGGCTCATCTGAATAACACTGCAGGCACACGGCACAGTATCCGACGTTACATGAGCTCTGGGGAACTCTCAGGTCCATGCCATACCTGTGCGCCATGCACTTTACCCATAAAGCCGTCTCCCCAGCCATTACTTTTATTTGTAATAACTATTTTTTGTTTGTCTATTTATAAAGACAGGGTTTCTCTCTTTCGTCTTGGCTGCCCAGGAACTCACTACATAGACCAGGCTGGCCTCAAACTCACAGAGGCCTTCTTGCCTCTGGCTCCTGAGTGTTGAATTAAAGTCCTATGCCAGCACATTTCTTTGTTTCTTTGTTTTTTTCATCACTGATGTTTTGTTTTGCTTTGTATTCCAGGACTGGGTTTCTCTGGGTAGCCCTGGCTGTCCTGGACTCACTTTATAGACCAGGCTGGCCTTGTACTCACATCAATCTGCCAGCCTCTGCCTCCCTAAGTGTTGGGATCAAAGGTGTGCGCCAACACGTCCAGCTGTTTCTTTCTTAATTATATGTATGTGTGTATGTTTGTGTGGGGTTTGTGCATGGTGTTAAGCACAGCTGCACATGAGGCCAGAGATGTCAGATCCCTCCTGTAGCTGGAGTCACAGGGGATTGTGCTGAGACCCTAAATCAGGTCCTCTGCAGAGCACTACACACTCTTAATCACTGAGACAGCCCTCCAGCCCCAGAATAACCATTTCCTAGATGGGCATTACTCCTCACTAAGTGACTAATAAAATGGGACAGACAATCATATACTTGACACACAGGAAGATAAGGTAACTGCTTTTGTAAACGCTGCTTATGACTCCGAGTCAAAGATACACTACACTGTCTTCAATGTTTAACCTTTCATATTCAGATCAAGAGTCTTTCTCAAAATCATTTTTATATATGCTAAATGGATAGAGGGTACCAAAAAGAAAAGTACAGTTAAGTATTAGCATGTTTTATTTTAATTGGTAATAACATTAAAAGTACCTGTACCAACTTATGCTGTTGCTAGCAATATTTGAGTTTCCGTTTTTAAAAGCAAATACCTGTCTTTGTGTATTATCAAACTATCTAAATTTTTAATATGATTATTAAAAAATGATTTGTTCTTTCCTGAATTTTTTTTTTTTTTTGTCTTCCTATTCCATATGTTGCTGAAACTACATGAAATCTCAATACTAACTTGGGAAGAATTGAAGTCATTCACCACTGTGCCTTGCTATCCCTCAACCAGGAACACAGTATCTTCTCTCCCTTCTCCTTTTCTTTCCTTTGGGGACAGGGTCTCAGTCTGTTGCCTGGCTATCTGGGCTGGAACTCTCTACCTGGACAAGGCTGGCCTGGAAAAATGACTCCCACGTCACTACACAGTCAGACTGGTCATTCCTAATAGACAAGCACATTACTGACTTTCATGTATTAATCTTATAGCAAAATTACGGCGCTTGTTTTTCAACCTAGTAGTTTTCAGTCCACTCTACTTTATTTGGTTGTATCCCATGCCTCCTCCTGAGATGCCGGTCCCAGGCTGTGACAACCGACGGCGCCTACTCCATCTCTGAACAGTCTAAAGCAGCTGACTCCAGGGTGTTCGGACCTTATCACGTGTAACCTTTATGCTGACTGCGGCTGTCTACTTATGAGCAGTACTTGGTTTCTTTCATGGAATTATACATTTAAGGAAATGTTTCTTAGCACATATCAAAGCCCACCTGTTTTTTGTAAATTTTCAGTTGTTCTTCGAAATGGGCGCAGAAACAGTCCACCGTTTCCTTCTCACCTGCAAAGAAGCAACACAAAATCTATTTCTCCTTCCCGTGTGGAAACAGATGAGTGTGCCCGATCCATTATTTCTGTTTGTTTGGTTTGGTTTTTAAGATAGGGTTTCTCTGTGTAGCCCTGGCTGTCTGGCTGTCCTTGAACTCACAGACATCTGCCGCCTCTGCCTCTGGAATGCTGGGATTAAAGGAGTGTGTCACCACTGCCAACCCTATTCTTACTTCCTAATAATTTATTGTCAATTTAAATGTAAGACTGGCTAACCGTCATTTTAAACTAAAATTTCTGTTTTTCCAGTTGGGCTGAGCTGAAATGTATCTGAAAGTGCCAACTGTGAAATTATGAACACACACACAGGCACATATATGGAAGCACAGGCACACACGCGTGCGCTCACGCACACCCTCCCTTTCAGGGAGGTTTCATGTGACTTATAATGAGAAAACAAAGATGATATTTTGGTACTAAAGTTAAAATACTCTAAGAAATTAAATCTTGAAGGTTTTACCTCTAACTGATTTCCCAGGCACTGCCGTCATCTAGTCAGCACACTGCCTGCTTCTGCAGACGCTGGCTACATTCACCCTCTCCCAGAGCTAAATGTTCTAAAAGATAAGCTTCAGAGCAGCGGCAGTTCAGAATCTGAGATGAGGTGCTTTACCGCAGAGCAGGGCGGGCGAAACTGCAACATCCAGGAAAGGGCTTAGTCCTGAGTCTAGGACCCCACCTCTGACTGTCACCTGTGAGGGCAAGTCACAGCGGGAGGCTTGGCTTTTGTTGTTGTTTTTAGTACAGGGACTGAACAGGGCATCAGCAGGCTCTTCAGGAAACCATACCTCAGCCACATCCCAGCCCTGAGAAGTATTGTTTTAAATGAAACAAACGTATGCCTATCTATCAACTGATTTTTTTTTTTTTTAATTCTCATTGAAATCTTCACTTGCAAACCAAATGATTGATATGCTTACTTTTGTCTAGCCGAGGTCTTGGATTATAGCGATACCCAACCTGGCTCCAAAAGACGGGCACAGAGCCTCGAGTTTGAATAAATGACAGGGTGTGATTATGAACATGAATTAACTGCTCAGTCTCCACATAATTTGCAACATTTCCATTTTTATCCACTCCTCTTCGTTTATAGCGCATTCCTGGAAGAAAATTAAACAGAAAGCGGCAACGGTTATAAAATATGTGCTTAGCTTGGCTTGGTGCTGGAGCACACGCTTGATGTTTCAGTGCTCTTGTAGGCTGAAGCAAGAGAATTACAAGTTCGAGGCCAGCCTGGACTATGCAGCAAAACTCTCAACAAAACAAGAGGCTCCCCCCATCCCCCGTCTGACTAGATTGTGCTTTAAAAGCCTTGGCAGCTTATGCACAGCCCACAGGTAAATAACAACTACGCAAGATTATAGCTGTACCATCACTGCTAAGTTGGATCCTTTGAATGAAAGACAATGGCTTTCCCAAAGGGCTTAGTTAGCACTCTGAGAGGATTTATCCCTGCGACGCAGGCTTTTAGTTGAACACTGTACTCAGATACATCCCAGGTGACTTTCTTCTGTCTGTGTGCATGCCACCTGCTCTGATTTACTAACTTTCCTGCTCCTCTACAGCAGAAATCAGTCTCTAATTGCATCCCAGTATCTGGAGTTTGATCTAACTGTGCTTTCAAGTCCATGATTTGCATTTCAACACCTCTGCAGCTTCTCCATTCTCTCCTGCCCAGGCTTTACATGTTTTTACTGACCTGCTCTGTGCCTACTCCTGCGCGATATGAGAGCCACTAGAAACCGTGGGTGAATGTCATCGACACAGCTGGACTCCTGAGCAGGGGTCTCTGGGCTGCTCTTCTCATCATCAGAGGACTCGTAATTCACCACGAGTTCCTCGATCTGCACAAAGCCCTGGATGATGGGGACGATCCAGAAGTCCACCTCCGGGGTCTAGGATGGAAATGAACACCGTCGGTTATATTCCACACAGAGCTGCTGCTGGCCTAGACCCAAACAACAATCCACACACACTGCCATCCACCTGCCACAAGCACAAGCCCTTCTCAACCCCATGTTCCACTAACTGGACATCAGGGAAAGAGGAGAGCAAGAGGGCCTTCCCTTTCCTTTACAGTGGTGTTCTTAAGAGCTGACTGACGGGAAACACAGCCTGGGTGCCAGACTGTTCCACACAAACTCAAGCTCCACTACCCACAAACTCGCTGACAGAAGCTCACTCACCTCGCTAGGCCTCAGTGTCCTCCTCTGTGAAATGGGACTACTACTGCCTCATAAGGCTGTTGTGAATAATGAACAGTGCATGTAAAGTAAAGCACAGTGCCTGCCAAGAGTAGTTAACAAATGTAGTGCTTATAAGTATTCCTCGCGGTATAGGAAAGCAAAGCTTTAAAGTTGTTTTCAATCCTCAACTGCATTAGCCTATAACAAAATGAAACCAATCCTGATCATTTCATTTCAAAACATAGTTTACTCTTAAACAATAATAGTAGTAGTAATAGTAATAATAATAATAATAAAGGCTTGTGTATTAGCCGGGTGCAGTGGTGCATGCCTGTAATCCCAGCACTCAAGGAGGCAGAGGCAGGCAGATCTCTGTGAGTTCAAGGCCAGCCTGGTCTACAGAGTGAGTGCAGGACAGCCAAGGCTGCACAGAGAAAACGCTGTCTATTTGTATGTGTATGTGTATGTGCCTGCTTGTCTGTATGTGCACCAGGTGTATACAGTGTCTTCAGAGGCCAGATGATGGTGTCCAATCCCCTGAAACTAGGGTTACTGAAGATGGTGAGTTATCTCGCCGGTGCTAGGAGCTGTCCCCAGATCCTCTGCAAGAGTACCCAGTGCCTTTACCCACTGAGCCTTCTCTCCAGGCCCCACAACTTTTATTTTGAGGTAGAGCTTCACTGTGTAGCTGAGTCAGGCCTGGAACTTCAGTGGTTCCCTTGCCTCACTACTGTGCTCAGTTTTGTTGTTGTCATTTACGGTGCTATGAATCAAACCCAGAGTCCCATGAATGCCAAGAAAACACTACAACTGAGCTCTGTCTCGGCCGCAGCTTTACTTCATATTCTGCTTTAGAGAAACGCCAGCCTAAAATTAAAATAGTAAATGAACAACAGAAAGTGTCTTATTTTAAAATGGTATCTAACATAATTAGGATGATACTGTTCAGAGATTTATTCTTCTTCTGTTCTTCTAAACATATTCAGATTTTAAACCAAATACTAGAGGTAGAAACATGATAGGAAGTTCAGCATCATCCTTAGCTACATATTAAGTTTGAAACCAGACTGGCCTCCAGGAGACCCTGTTTCAGAAACAACAGCATAATAACACTGAGAAGAAGCTCAGTCAGGAACGTGCTTCTCCACTGAAGTAGAGGCTGGTATGGAGCACATGTCTGTAACCTAACGATGGGGAGGTGGATTCAGGTGGACCGCTGGGGCTCACTGGTTGCCAACCCTGCTTGGTGCACTCCAGGCCAGTGAGAGACCTTGTCTCTAAATAAACCAGGTGCCTGAGAAGCAACATCTGAGGCTGCCTTTTGTTCTCCACATGTACACACACAAATGACCGCGTGCACACACACCACCAACACCACCAAAACAATAATGAAACAAATACTCAAAACACTGTCTTGAGATAGGGTCTTTCTACGTAGCCCAAGCTGGCCTGGAACTCACAATCCTCCTGTCTCAGCTTCCGAGTGCTAGGATCCCAGACATGTACCACCATATCTATCTTCAGCATCAATTTCAAACCTACCTTTCTTTCTGTCACTACTCACTTAGGGTTCCATTCATTTCACAGCTTCATTTTGTTTTATGTTCTCTATACGTCAGATCTTCAGAAGGTTAGGGTTGGAAACAATGAGGTAAAGGGTGGCCCACATTGATCATTTTTAACACTCTTCCCACTACTATACTTTTGTTCTAGCAATAAACCCAAGATTCTTGACAGGAACATAGAAACACATTGCCAAATGTCCTCTTTATCCTAAGCCACCAGCTTTAAATAGTAATGTGACCGTGTCTGACAAAAGCTCACCAACACTGGAATTTCCACACTGTCATCATAAAGACAAACGCTCATTATAAACACCCTTATTTGTTTCCTGTCACTGAGCTTTGAGGGTCACAGCATGATCAGTATCAGAAGCGAAGCCCATGCCTCAACCTCAGTGGAGACACGGAAGTATCTGGCTGAAGATGCCTCTAGATAAGAACTCAAGAACTGTTATGAACTGTCAGTAAAGGGGAAATGGAAGAAGGAAAATAACTGAAAGGCTGAGGAAAAGATGACCATATTCCATTACTTTTGTCTAGTACTCGGTGTCCAAAACACACAGCACGCAGGAGGCCTCAGGCCTCACTCTCCAAAACGTATGAGGGTGGGGTCGTTAATCTTCAGTCAACGTGCCTGCACCCAGAATCCCCTGGAGAAGGACTCAGATCTCTGGGTGCACCTTTGGGTGTGTTTCTAGAAAGAATCAACTGCAAAGGAAAGATGTGTCTTGAGTGTGGGCGGTATCATCCCACCATCTGAGGCCCAGACAGTATAGACGAGAGAAGTGCATGTCAGTATTCCTCTGTCTCTCTACTGCCTAAGCCCACCATGACAAGATGCTTTCTCCGACATAGGGATGTACTGAATTCTCCGAAATCACCAGCCAAAACAAACCCTTCTTCCCTAATCTGTCCACCTCAGTCATCCTTATCACAGTCATAAAAATAACTATACTCAAGCACTTCTGCACAAAGAAAAAAAAAGAAAGTAACCATCAAATCAGAAAGAAGCAGGCAAGATCTCTCGAGCACACGCACACCCTAATAAATAGAAAGGGGGGAGAGAGAGAGAGGACTCCAGGAAGTGCTCTCTCCACATCAGGTAGTTTTCCCTAAACACAGCACTAATAGTCAGGCCTTCGAGATCCGTCTACTCCAAACCCCAGGGGAAAAACCAGAGTGGTATCTTACAGAATACCTGGCTTCTGCAATCCCAATGGATATAAAAAATATGAATTTATCTTTACAGGAATTCTATGGACATTATTGGTTTCTTGGGCGTATTACTACCCTCACCCATCTTTTCCTGGAGACAGGATCTTGCTATATAGCCTAGGATGGAGTTGAACACACTTACAGAGCCCAGAGGACCCCAAACGTGTAACAAGCCTCTTGCCTCAGCTTCCCACATGCTGGGATGACAGGTGTGTGACACACATTCAACTAAATAACTTCTTGAAGAGACAGGCTGTCGGCAGAGGAGGTGGAACTGCAGGACGCCTGAAAGTAATGCCTTCATTTTCATTAGTTAAATGATTATCCTCAGTATGGGGAAACATCTTAATAAGATCTCAAAATTCATCCTCACCAAGTAACATTTGCTTAACAGTTGCAACTAATGGTGTCTTAGAAGCATCTACTCACACCAATCTCAGTCAGATCTTGGATCATGTACTTATTCCAGAAAAATCGGTCATCAGCCTAGAAAAAATGGAGGAAAGGATAAGCTCAGGAGCACGCTACTTAAGTTTCCTGTAAAAGGCAACTAGGCACTTGTCTAGGAGCCAGCACTGCTCTCTCTGCCTTGTGCGCTGTACCTTCTGCCAGAGGGGGCGGCCAGCCCTCTCCCCAGCGACCTGCCTCTGCACTGAGTTGGTCAGGTCATAGGTCAAGCTGTAATAGAAGGACTCTGAGTCCATGAACATCTTCAGCAATTCCTCAAGTAATCGCCTCTCCAACTTCTCCTTTTCTTTGCTTTCTTTAACCTGTAAGAAGTCAATCTGTAAGTACAGGAGTCAGATAGAAAGTTTATAGATAATGCAAGACTTCAAGTAAGGACAACCCCCAAAACACAGGACAGTCTTCTGATACATTAAAAAGAATTAATTACCCTCAACTTATGACTAATCAAAGACGGATTCCAAGCCCATGTCAACCAAACTCTTACTTTCTTTTTGTTGGGAGCAGACACGTTGGATTTGATATTTGTAAATGTCTTCAGTAGAAACTTGGAGTCATCAGGAGATGGTATAATCTTCTCTGGCTTGTTAATTCCAAAATGATGCTTCTTACAGAGCTAAATACATTTTTAAAAGGATGATTCATTATTAATTATTATCTGCTTTAGATGTTCAAGTATGAGTCCAGAAGTACATGCCACTGCTTGTGCATTTGGGTTAAAAGCAGACCCTAAGAATTAATGAAATGACTAAGCAGGTAGAATACAGCTACAATTTCAATAATTAGAAGCCACACTACAAATAAAATACAAGAATACAGGAAAGGATGCACTTAGGGTTAGAGGCAGAACAGCCAGGTTCAGAGCATATCCAAAAGATACAATGTTCTGATCAAGGTTATTAATGCTTTAAAAACTGTCATCTAATAATAAACTACACACACCTGCTATGCCTCAAAGTCATTACAAACATGAGTTTTAATATTTGTTTATGCTAACTACCTGAGTGTTTTAGTTGAAAAAAAAATGCCCTGAGTCCACTCTACTGAGAATCTTAAAAGCTGGACCTTTCAACACTCTCTCCTCCTATCTTTACACACAATAATGAAATCAACAAATAACATAACTTGGGCCCAGAGATCAGTTAAATTTAAAGAGCAGTAATTAGGAGTTTTATATAAGGAAAAGTGCAATCCGATTGGCAAAGTAAGGAGGAGGAAAATGTGACTATGGAATGTGCTGAGCAAGAACAGGGACAGACAGTTCTAGCTGGTGAGAGTCAGTTATATGCTTTATTTTATAGGCTGCTTTGGCCATGGTGACCAACAGGTTAACAGAAGAGTAACAAAGACAAACACCTTTGTTTTTAGTTCCTTCACCTGCTTTTATCTCAGCCTGGATGACAGTTCACTTGGGCCTATTACCCCTTAACTTCTTATCAGAAAACCCGAAGACCTCTGAGAGGCGACCATCTTTTTTTGAAATTTATTAAAAATTCATTTAATAGGGACTGGAGAGGTAGTCCAGCAGTTGAGAGCACTTCCAGAGGACCCAGGCTCAATTCAGCACCCGCATGACTGTTGAGTGCTCCAGTCCCAGGGGATCCAACCCCGTCTCCAAGGGCACCAGACGTGCCTACCAAACACAGACACGTATGCAGGAAACACAACATAAAAACTTTAATTAAAAAGAGTGTGTTTACAAACTCTGCCCTGAGGATACATGATATCCATCATCGACTATTTAGCATAAATATTTATTTATTAGCATTTAGCATACATACTCATTGGATTCTTTATAAAATATTAATGTTTGTATTGTGGGATAAGGCTTAGATTAAGTTGGGGGCATCAGATAACACATGGAATAAACTTTTTGATATGGAAATGAAAATGCCCTCCATTAGTTTATGTATTTGAATACTTAGTCCCCAGTTGGTAGCACTGCCTGGGAAGGTTGTGGAACTTTTGGGAAGTGGAGACTAATGCATAAAGTATGCCAGTGGAGTAGGCCTTGAAGTTTTATAGCCTTGCCCCATTCCTGCTCTCTCTTCCTTCCTCCTTCTTTCCTTCCTCTCCTTCGTGAGGATGAAAATGTGATCAGTCAGCTTCCTTGTGCCTGCTGAAATGCTTTACCTGCCTGATGCCATACCTGCCCCAACATGATGGACTCTGTCCTCTAAAACCATAGCCTTTTCTCTTCTAATTTGCTTTTGACTGAATATTTTACCACAGCAACAGAAAAGCAACTAATATACTCTGTGTGTGTGTGTGTGTGTGTGTGTGTGTGTGTGTGTGTGGTGGGGGTGACAGACAGACAGACTCACTCATTCACTCCTGGCTAGCCTGGAACTTATTATATAGATTAAGAAGGACTTAAACTCACAGAGATCTACCTGCCTCTGCCTTTCAAGTCCTGGGATTAAAAGTGTGTCCCACCATGCCTAGCTAATACACTTTTTTCCCAATATACCTCTGATTATTACATGCAAGTCTGTGCACAAAACCAACTAAAAACCGAACGGTAACACAAATACAGCTTCAAACAATTCAGATAAGAATTACAGATCTATGTAACAAAGCCTAAACTCACTGAACCACCTTAACCAAATGTCATTCTAATGAGTATTCTATAATCTTCTATATAATTACTTTCAGAAAAGACAAGTACAGACCACTATCTCTTCAAATGGTTAGAAGGCAGCCCTATCAGAAAACAGTGATAAGAGAAATTATTTCTCGGGAACCCTTCCACTCCTAAAGTATTTTGTTTGGACAAGATCCTTGGTTATGCGTGGATGCTGACAGCGTGATACTGATGCCAGGTCACCTCCCCTTTTCCGGAGGCCCAGGAGTTCCCTGGAGTGTATGACAGGCCCTCATTACAACTCTGACATGTGTATATGTATATATGTATATAGATACATACACACATGTATATATACATGTACATATGTATATAAATATACCACTAGCATAAACTCCCTCAATTTTTCTATTATTCTTGCAAGTTGTACTTCACAACCAAGATTAAAAACTGATGCTGCTGAAGAAAAGGAAAACAAATGGTTTTACTTTCAAATGTGTTATCTGTATCCATTCTGAGATAAAATTTTAAACAGCTTTCTGATGGGAAACTAGGCATGGAAAATGATGCAGCTCTCTATTACGGCAATGAGATACAGCAAATAAGATATGCAGGCATGGAACATAAGCCTTTGGTGCTTTAGGGGTATTTTTTTCAAAATGCATAATGCATGCCTTCTCATTTGCTTAAGCCCTAAAGTTCCACCCATAGCCACATACATTTATATTTTTAAGTGATACTCTATATTGGAAAGCAGTGTGACAGTTCCCAAAAACAGTTAGGTAGAATTACCAAAATGACCTAGGAACTCTACACTCAAGGGAAATGAAAACCTATGTATACCAACGCTTGTATGGTACAAACTTGTGTACTGCAGCATTATGCATAAAGGATTAAAAGTGGAAACTCAAGTGTTCATCATCAGCTGATGCTAAGTTTTAAAAAAGGACACTTATACAATGAAAGAGTATTTGACAATAATAAGGAATAAAGTGCTAGTAAATGCTATAACAAATAAACTGGCAGGGAAATAAGCCACATACCCAGCTCAGTTAAAAACACAACTGAGGCAGAAACTATAAATTCTAATATTAGACTCTACAATAAGACCACTTCTGCTCCAATTGCAGAAAACAACCAGCTTCAGCAAATCTGAGGAAGCTGACCTGACTAAACAGCTGGAGGACTCTGCTGGGAAGGCTGGCAGCAGTGGGTCGCACAGAACAATAAATTGGCTTCAGTCAGAGAGGCGTGCTGCCGTGGAGGACATGGGCCAGCTTCATGAAAGACAGTAGTGCAAATACAAAATCTCCTGGAAATCTCTACTGAGAATGCAATCAAATGAAAGCACATCAGCTGTAGGCATGATTATCCAATATTAACTTCTTTTTTAAGGTTTATTTCTGGGATGCAGAGATGGCTTAGCAGTTCAGAGCACTGAGTGCTCTTCCAGGGGACCAGGATTTAATTCCCAGCACTTACTTGGCTCACAAGTGTCTGTAACTCCTGTTCCAGGGGATCTGACACCCTCATACAGACATACATACCGGCAAAACACCAATGTACATAAACTAAAAATAAGTAAGTTATAAAAAGATTTATTTCTATTTTATTCGTGTGTGTGTGTGTGTGTGTGTGTGTGTGTGTGTGTGTGTGTGCGCGCACGCGCGCGCACATGCTCCATGTATGTGCCAGTGCCATAGAGCCCATTGGATTCTCTGGAACTGGAGTTACAGGCATTTGTGAGCAATCTGACATGCATGCTGGAAACTAAACTCAGGTCCTCCAGAAGAGCAGTAGGTGCTTTCAACAGCCATCTCTCCAATCTCTGGCCATTATTATTTCTAAGTGGTAGTATTTTTTTACCTTCTCCGTTACAATCAGACAAGTAAAAAGCATGTTAAGCTTCTAAAAGCTCCTTATGTTTATATAAATTTTTGAGGCAGGGTCTCATGGAGCCTAGCCTGGGGTCAAACTTATTATGTACCTGAAGACAGTCTTGAATACCTAGTCCTGCCTCCACAGCACACACCACTCCTGGCTTTAAAATGTCCTTTCAATGGGGTGTACATAACAGAAAGAAGGAGATGACACATTTAAATTAATATATTAGATTAGAAGAAATGTTATGATTGCCTGCTACTCAGTGTTGCAAAGTTCCTTTATTATGATACAGATTAAAAGTAAAGGGGAAAAGGCATGACAATAATTTCTAAAATATGAAATACTTTCTCTATAGTTACTACAACAGTCCGAACGACAACTATCTCCAATGAGCTGGCATTTGGAAACCTGATCCCCGGTTGCTGGTGCTGTTTTGGGGAGGTTTGGGATATGGGCCTTGCTGAAGGAAGTACATTGCTGGGACAGGCTTTGAGGTTTCAAATCCACGCCATCAGCGGTTCACTCTCTGTGCTTCATGTTGAGGTTTAAGAAGCTCTTAGCTTCTGTTCAGGCCAACAATGTTTGCCACTCGCTGCTGTAACGGGTTCTTATCCTTCTGCAACCACAAGTCCAAATAAACTCTTTCTTCTGTAAGCTGCCTTTGTCATGGTGTTTTAGGACAGCAACAAAAAAGTCTTACCCTTTCCCCTAATTTGCACAAGCCATAACATATTCCCATTCCTAACACGAACCACAATAAGCACTCTAGTTCAAACAGCCTGAGCAGTCACTCTGGGGAGATGGCTCAGCGAGTAAAGTGCCTGTCACACAACCCTGAGAACCTGGATTCAGATCCCCAGTACCCAT